TTCTGTCACCTCTGCCCCAGCCAACAGAAATGCTTGGCAAGGAAAGAGGATTGTTTTTGAGTCTAGTGACGCTGAAGAAGATGTAGCAGTACTGGATGCTACTGTTCAGGGGGAATCTCACAGATCTCCCTCTGCAACCTTGCCTGATCAACCCATGATACTTACATTATCAGAACATCATCAAGAAGACAGAACCCCTGAGCCCACAGAACCCCATGAGCATATCCCCTCTGATCTAGACAAAGTATTTATCAGGGTTCTGGCTTGGAGGAAGTGGAGAGTGGGACCTCTTCCAGAACTACTCAGATTGCTCCCCAACTTTATCATAGAGGAAGCTGAAGCTCTGAAGTGGGCTGGCACAGAAGATGTTGAGCTATGCCTCAACAAGGACTTTCTTCTATCTGTTCTCGCTGAGAAGAAAAAGGGGGAATGCAAAGGCAAGAGCAAGCTCACTCATGTCATAGCAGAAGAGCATGTCAAGGCTCTGACAGAAGATGAGATGGCAGCTTTTGATGATTGACTGATTGAAAAGAAGAGGAAGGAATCTATGATCAAATTTCGACATAGTGCTCATGGAGAAGGGGAACCCTCCACTGTTAATGATCTACCCTTGGTCATGGAGAGGTTGGTCAAAGAATGGAGAGATTCACAGTTCAAGAGACTCTACTTGAGGTAATTCCTGAACCTCCACTCTCACCCAGAATGCCAACTCCCTTTACCACTCCACCCCAATCTCCTCACCACAAAACCCCTTCTGTACTTATTTCAACAGAACCCTTGATTCCATTATCCCCCTCTGTGCATACACTCCCATCCCCCCAACAGAACACCTCCTCACTTCATCAGAAACCCTCTTCTGAACAGAAAACCCCCACACCCCAAAAGCCCTCAATCTCCAAATCTCCATCTCCTTCAGCCTGCAAACCGTTCTCTCCCCCTAAGAACAGATCCCCTTCCCCTCCCCCATCTTCTCAAAGACAAATTATTCCACACCAACCCCAACAGCCTATCTCCTCATCACCTCAACCTCAACAGAAATCCCCTTCACCTCCCAAGTCTGAACATCAAGTCACTCCACAAGAGTCCCTTCCACCACACCAACCTGCAGCTCAGCTAAAACTTGAATGGTTCCTTAGAGACTCTGATCCTACTACAGTCTCCCCCATCTCTGCACCACAAGGTTATTCTAGGCATTCTACTGCCCCCAATCCCTCCCTCCGGAAGAAGAAGAAGGTAATCAGAAACAGAATCCCAATCTACTCCTCTTATGAAGACTCCTATGACATGGATGGCTTCATGGTCAGCAAGTCCTACAAAGCTACTTCAAAGAGACAGAAGACCCCCCCTCTGACTCAACTTGAGCATGAACTTCTTGTCCAATCTCTCTCCTCTGTCCAAGAGCATCACCCTTTGCCTAAGGGAAGAGGTTTAGAGCTGCCTCAATCTGTTGGACAAGAGAATCAGATACCCTTCAATGATTTTGTTGCAGCAACAGAGAACTTTGGAGGACAGATTTTAGAAGGTATGGACAAACTCATATTGATTAATGATAAACACTATGAGGGACTGCAACATGTGGACGATAATGTGAAGTCTGGCTTCAAACACATGTCTGCTACTCTGACCAATGTGCTTAAGGATTTCATGACTTCATCAAATTCCAAGATTGATGCTGTCTCCACTGAAGTGGACTCTATCAAGACTGTTCTCACTGCCATGAATCAAACACTGAATTCCCAGCATACAACACTTTCAACCCTTTCCCAGGCAGTGACATCTCTTCAAAGATCAGATTCAGTGCTTCATGCAAGGTGATGGATTATAGGGTATCCAATCTTATATAATTAGGAGAGATTTGAGCTAAAGATAGTGAAGAAGATGAATCAATAGTAGAGTGTGAATGAGTAATTATGTTCTAGGGTTACAAATGGCTCCAAGAGAAGTATAAATAGGGAAATAATGGGCCAGGCCGCTAATATGGGCCCGGTAGCCCAACTACATAAAAGACTAATCTAGTACATCCGAGTCTATATACTCTATCATTAGACGTGGAGCTTCACCGTAGATCATAGCCGCCACAGCGATGATGTACAAATCCATGGCCTACTGAACCTCCAGACGTGCAGTCTCCGTCCAGATTCAGATCTACCAGGCGACCGGCAGCAGAGTCGAGATCGGCACTACAACAATCGACTCCAACCACGAGCTTTGTCGCGGGAGGTGTCTCATGTTCTTTGCTGCGTCGTTACAACGTGGAGCTTCACCGAGCTAATAGTGGAACTAATTTCTGCTTCTCACATAAATTTCCCGAGCCTGGGCGAAATTTCTGCCGGATTAAAATTTCAGTAGGCCATGGATTTGTCCGAGTCTATATACTCTATCACAAGGATACAAGAACTAAACACCCTCTGCCATGATCATACTACTCAAAGACAGCTTCTCCTAATTGCAGACAAAGAGAGATATCAGAAGATGGCTCTCTTAGAAGCCAGCAACAAGGATATCCTGTCTGCCATCCAGAAGCAACAGGGGCTGATTGAAGGTCTTACATCTATAACTCAAACCTTACCAGAAACCCTGGAACAGATTGCCTCTACTCAGGCCACAGAATTCCAGAAACACTCCCTTCTGCTTGGTGATCTCGATGATGCCAAAAAGGGGGAAGAAGGCCCTCATCTGCCAAAACCCAGGACCACCAGAACCTCATCATCTACTGAACGAGTTGTGGATCCCACGCCTTATTTTGAAGCTGCTCTCCAGAAGAAAAGGCTAGCTGGTATCCCTAGACCTCCATCCCCACAGAAGAAAGGAACTAAGAAGAAGAAAGCTCTAAGCTTTAAAGAATGGAGACTGGGAGGATCTCAGGTGATGACTAAAACACAATTTGAGGAAATGAAGCAGAAGATGACCTCCACACAACAACATAATCTTTATCTGGACCATGATGGTCATGTAAAGGTTAGACATGGTGGATCTCTGGAGGAGGCAGAATTCTGGTTTCACAATAGCATTGTACCAGGAAAAGATATTCATGAAGGTGTTCTAAACTACCTAGACTGCAAACTCTCACCCGTTTGGGCTTCTTATCATAGAACTGGAAATCTGGTTGGAATCAGAGAAGAGGTGAATGCAGAGCTAAAAATGCTACAAGGACTGGATGAACAAGCAAGAGCTGAAGCTGCAAAGACTATTATGTAATCAGATACTCTTGTAATCCACCTTAATAAAAGAACATCTCTGCCTCACACTTTGTAAGGCAATTCCTCAATCTCTGTCTTTTCTTTGCTTTCTGTCTTTGTTTATTTGTTTTTTGAATTATTATCTACTATCTGAATGTACTGCACTCTTACTATTTTCCTATGCCAAGTTGCCCACCAAGATTCTAATGGAAGTTTTAAACTTTAAATATTTATGGTAAAGGCACTTCTCTAGAAATGGTTAAAGGGTTTTGGCATCATCAAAAAGGGGGAAATTGTAAGGAATATTTGTAATTAGATTTTGATGATGCTAGATTAATTAGGACTTTAGAGTACCCCTCTTTAGACTTAATGTATTAGAATTTTCCTTTGTAAAATTTCTTAGTATAATCGACTACCAGAAGGCCTCCAGAGCAGAAGACCTCCTGACAGAAGATCTTTGGTTCTCTGCCTAGGAACAGAAGACCTCAGGGTCTCTGTTAGCCTTTACTCTGACAGAAACCCTCCTGGTTCTCTGTTAGATATATTCTCAACAGAAGTGCTCAAGACCTTCTCTGATCAACTCTCTGCTAAAGACACCAGAAGGCCTGACACTTAGAAGAATTCCACCAAGCCGGGAAACCAACTGAAAGATCCCTTCAACGGCTAGGAGTCTTGAACGGAAAAGCTACAGTGCGCGCATTAAATGCTCATTTAATGCTCCCCATACTCCGTAGAGTAATTGCAGATGATTGGCCGCAATGTTAGGATTACTTTATCCCAAAATAGTAACCCGCCAACTTTACCGGGTCCTACTGGTCAAGTCAACTGCTCGCTCATTTAATGCAGTTGTCCTCTTTCTCCTCCAACGGGAAGACAACCTCAGTATAAAAGATACACTACGAAGAACAACCGGATAACTTTGCTAACCTTTGCTACAACTCTGCACATACAAGAAATTCAAACACTACAAAGCAAAAAGCCTCATTGAGATTAAAACTTCATCATCTTCTACAAGAGAAGGCAGAAGTTGGAAAAATCCTTATTTCCAACTCAAGCAAAGTTCCAAGTGTTCTTCAACTCTTCAAGCTCATTACTTACAAATCCCTTGTAACGAAGCAAGTTGGAGGAACCCCTGTTCTAAATAGTGTAACACCGTCCCCAAATGTATTTATCTTTAAGCGAATAATTCATTGAACCCTATGAAATTTTTAGTGAATTTACGAGGTTGTGAATTTGTATTAATTTTTTTCGCGTGAATAGTAAAATGCACGTGGGGCCCACATCGGGAGTGGGGATCGCCCGATATTATCGGGACCACATATTATATTCATATGGGTCTAGAAAATATTTATAGATGGTGGATACTTCATTTGGGCCATGGAAGGACCCAGAGTTGACCGATCGGTCAATAGAGGCCTCAATACCGGTATCGATAAATTTATCAGATAAAAGCCCGAAAGTGGATTTTGGAGATTTATAAATTAAAGTTGGGGAATGCATATTCATTCTAAATGTTATAATGATTAAGAACACGTAATATATTTATTTAACCCGATGAAATAAAATATATCTAAAACAGTCCGGAAAATACAACTTTCGGGGCAAATTGTACACTTTGGGACAAATTGGGATGACCTCCCACATGGGTGGGGGCCACCCCACGAATTTGTCAACCTTTGGGGGCTGTATGAGGGCTAAGTTGGCTGAATAACAATTGATAGGATGGGGGAGACACCCTTTGACATTTGGTAGACCCCCTCCCTTCACTCATTTGTCTAAATGAGACAAAAACCACCCCTCTCACCTCACCAACTCCACCCACTCGTACCAACACCCTAAGATAGCAAGGAGGAGCTCTGAAATTCACCATTTTCACACCCAAACTCGAGCTCAAGATAGAGGATCCAAGGAGGAGTGCTTGGAGAAGGAAAAAGGTGTAGGAAAGTGTGGAAATTGAGGTAATCACCTTGCCATAGCTTTCCCTTTATTCTTCTTCTACCATGAGGCATATTTAGTATATGAAGAACCCTTGGGATGGTTCTCCATGTTCTAAGTATGGATTTATGGGTTGGAAAGTGGTTCTATGTCCAAGAACGGACATAGAAGCCAAATCGACCGGTTTGCCGGAAAATAACCTTTTATAGGTTATTTGTGTTGATATGGGTTTTGTGATGATAAAACCTTGTTAGGAACTTGAATTAAAGTATTTTTGAGCTTCGCCGGAGTTTCGTCGGAGTTGGTCAAAGTTCGCCGGAGTTGGTCAAAGTTCGCCGGAGTTGGTCAAAGTTCGCCGAAATTAGTCAAAGTTCAATCGAGAAGCGTAGAACGTGCTTGAGCTTAATTAAGGTGAGGATGACCGACTATGTTACTTATAATCTTTGGGTTAATTTCATGGGATTTCCTAAGTGAATACAAATGTGATGTGCATGGGTTGTTAATGGTTAATAATGCCTAAATAAAACTACTATTGATTATAAGTATAGTATGCATGATACACAAATTTATGAATAAATTGTGTATGTTTAGATGTTATGAATATGTGTGTATGATGGTTGTACCAACCATGAATTTCATTTGAGATAGTATACTTTGATACCATGAGGAGAAGCCATGAAGGTATGAAAGTGATACTTGATATTAAGGCCAATCATGCATGAAGGAAGAATTATATTGAAATAAATAAATAACTAGCATTGAAATATTAGTTGGAAATGTTAGTTGAGAAATGGATGAATTAGATCCTAAGAATGAGAATTATAAGGAATCGGTGATTATGAGCCGGGCTCGGGACCGATGTAGATAACAGTGATTATGAGCTGGGCTCTAGACCGTGGTAGATGACGGTGATTATGAGCTGGGCTCTAGACCGTGGTAGATGACGGTGATTATGAGCGGGGCTCTAGACCGTAGTAGATAACGGTGATTATGAGCTGGGCTCTAGACCGTAGTAAATAATGATGAATTGGTACTAAATGAACGGATTAACTATAATGTAATAATGCTCTAGATTGAGGGCCTCAGAGATTTAAACTTCGATTATACTTAGTATAGTTGTCATTGTACTTGTCAAATGCTTCCAAGTACTGACCTCCCCTTCACGGGGGAGGCCACCTCACAGTTTCAGGTAGAACTTGAAGGTTGCTACCATCAGCCGCTGTTTCGGGAAGTTTCTGAGAAGAAGACTTGGTTCGTGCTTCTTCCGTTCTTGTTTTGAAAACAATATGAATAATGCTCATGGATATTATTTTCTGAATATACATTTCGGGAGTTTGTATACCCATGTTGGCCAAGTGTGGCTTGAACACTTGTAATGTTGTTTCCGCTGTTTTAAATGAATGATTTACATTATGTTTGTTTATGGATGTACTATGTGTGAATGATGTTCATGACGCCTTGTATAGTATGGATGAGTTGGACTGCGGTTGACTATTCGTACTGTACGGCGGGTTGTTGACGTGTCCGGCTAGGTCCGGGGCGTGACAATTTAAATGGTATCAGAGCCTTAGTCCGTAAACATCATAATGAAGCTTCAAAATTTCTTTTTGAAAATGAATTTGAAAACCATGAGCATAAGTTTTGTACTTATAGAACTTTTGGTACTTGAGTTGCAATGCCTCTAATTGTTAAGATGGTACCCTTAACAATTGGTATGGCGGTGATTTGAGCCAAAGGATGTCTTTAAGTACCCGTCCGTCATTTGACATTCGATACGAGTCTAATGACTCATTCTAATTTCTTTCAGAAATGGAACCAGTTGGAAGGATCACTAGAAGGAACCCGTTGGGCCGTGCACCGGGTGGGTCCGAGCGCGGTAGCCGGGGGTCCTCTAGGGGATCAAGAGGAAGGGGCCATGGGGGCCAACGTCAAACCGTGAGCGATGGCCACGTCGATACCGAAAATGAGACCTATTGGTCCTATGAGGACTCAACCTACCAGCCGGGGACTCAGCCAGTTGAGACCCCTTACGAAGAGAATGATGATGATGTGAGTGATGAGGAGGAAAGTGGCTCCTTGGCCAGGATCGAAGCGCTGCTCCAACAGTATGTGTTGAATGTCGTACGTCCCCGGGATCTTCATGTCCCGAAGGCCGTATGTCCCCGGGGTCATGTTTGCTGTGTTTGAGCCTGTTCGTAGTAGTGGAAGTACGTGGGTCATGGTGTCTGGACCCACATACTCTATCAATTTATATGTAAGGTCACCAATTTTTTTTTCAATACAATGTTATAGAAAAAGTATCTATGAAATTAAGATGATGTTAAAAATTTGTATCGAAATACTGCTCGATCTAACTGTAGTTAACGAAAAATGCCAATTCAAGCTAAGTGGTGTTTTTCCTTCGAAATAATTACATAAATATGACCAAAATAAATATGATTTACAAAAATATGACTAATGACTAGAGTAGTAATGAAATCATAGTAATTCATGTTCAAGTTTTGAGCTTAAGTTACCACAACACCACATTGTAGTAATGAATAGTCATATTTATGTAAATATGACTTATTTTAGTAATATTCTTGTAAAAAATCCTTTTCCTTTAAAACAAAAAAGGAAGGCAGCCAACATATGGGAGAAAGAGAGGGGGAAAGAAGGTGGTGCGGGGACCATGAAAAAAATCTTTTTCTTTAAAGTGTTATAGTTTTTATATTTTTGCTCCAATTTTTACAAAAGTATATCAAACTTCATAATTTTTTATGATTTTTCATATAAAACTAACATCACATATATAAAATTTAGAAATATATGAACCTATAGGGTAAAAAATACTAGTTACAATCGTGCACCGTAATAAATCTAATTGTGAACAAGTTTATACAAAAAATGTGTATTTTCACCACATCAATCTAGTTTTGCCCAGGAATTTAGCTTTGTCAATATAATAATCCAAACTATTTTTTTAAATCAAATCCATACATTTATTATACAACTTTTTGCCAATATTTTTTTACAAAAATCTTAAGATCCTATTGCTAAAGTCTTTTAGGATCAATTTTTTTAAGTAGATCGGTGTTCTAAAATTAAGCTCTCGTGATTATTTTAACATCTTTCAGTTATTTTTTCAAGAAAGGGTCGGAAGCAACAAAAAGAATTTAACTCCATTTTTCTGCATTAAAATATTTTACTTTTAAAATCATAATTATATGTAACTTTCTTGCTTCAAAGTTACAACAATATATATTTGTATCAACAAAAAAATTAAATCCCAATAACTTTTTTGCATCAACTTTTTGTGAATACTTTTTTACAAATACTTATGATTTAACAAGTTAAATATTTTGATGCGAAAATAATAATATAAACTTTAATTTTTTGTACAGTTCCTCCAGACATTTTAGCAACAGGATCTTCAGATTTTTGTAACAGATATTGGCAAAATGTTGATATATGATACGGAGTACGTACTAAATATAAGGATTCAATTAAAAAAATTATATTGGATTATTATATTGATGTTGCTAGATTGCAGAGGAAAAACTAGATTGATAATGCTACACATTTTTTGTATAAACTTATTTAGAATTAAATTTATTGACAATGCATGGTTGCAACTTGCATTTTCATCTTATATGGTGATGGAGTGCATGGGTCCAGACCTCATTACCCACATACTTGGAAGGCTAAATACAAGCATAACCGACACCCACGTGGTCCTACATCAGCCAGATAGGCCCTCGGGGATACCGTGTAAATATTTACTATGTATATTAATTTTTTGTTATAAAATATATAGTAAAGTTAAACAATTTTGTCATCTAAATATGAGTATAACACATCAAAGAAATCAATAAACCAGTTAATTAGAAAAAAATTATTGAATTATTTTATATGTGACATTTGAGGATACAATGTACCTAAACCGACAGTATGAAACTAGTACAAACATTGGTTGCAATAAAGAATTTTGAATTAGGTAAAGATGTGAAAGATATATTGTGCATATATGAAGTAACTTTTTCATATTTTAAAATAAATTGCAAGTTTCTAAATCATGAATACTATAGTTCAATATTTCACTTAAATAAAAGAATTAGAAAAAAATAGTGAAATACTATCAACGAATCATGAGTATAAATCAGACAAGTAGACCAAAAGAACATTTATGCGCTAAACCATAACGAATCAAAAGAAATGGTGAAGTACGTTCTCAATGAATTCTAATGTGGACATTTTAAAAATGAATTGAAAGTATAAAAAAAAATAACTTTGATTTTAGTTTTTATTTTTATAGATTTTTATGTATATATAATTAATATTAATATATATCCAAACGGATCTGAGAACACAGTCCAGAAGCCTAGAAACAAGAATGGGCCCTCCATTTGGCCGGGCCCTCCATCTGGTCTGGTCCTCCGTCGGTCAAAATGATTCCGACAGAATAGATTTTATATTTAGTCAAATAAATCATGTACTCAACCCAATAAAGGCCTTATTTTATATTGGGCCTCCCAAGCCCAAGATGTGGGAGCCCAAACCCATATTTTCTCCTATAAATAGCCCCCCAGGGGTAGTTATAGAGGGTTGAAAAATATTAATTGCTCACTTTCTCTCTCTAGTTCTCACTTCTCTCTAAGATCAGTACTCTATCATTTGGTGCTTTCATTGAGAGTTAGAACAATTAAGTTAGTATCCTTCGTCGCTAGCAGACACCACTAACTGAAATGGGAAAGACAAGGTCAAACCGCAACCTCATTGACAAAACCCGCCCCGACCCTCAAGAGAAGCAAGAGAGGTTGGGTGACGCTACGACCGACAAGATAGTGGAGGAAGAGGCCTTCTAGGGAACCATCGACCCCACTGCGGACCTTTGCAACAAGCTCAACGTCAATGCTCAAGATGCTCGCATTGGCCTTGAGAAGAAACTCTCAGAGAAGGGCAGCCATGCTTCGGGAAAACAAACTACTCCCCCCGTTGACCCCCAAGTTCAGGCCGCACTATTGGCTATCATTGCCAGTCTGGCCCAGAACCCTACTGTCCTAAGCGCCCTCATTCCACAGACGGAGGAGAACACAACACCACCATCTCCTCCACCTCCTCTAGATCAGAAACAGACGAAGCATGGACCCTCTTCACCGATGGTTCATCAGCCGCTAAAGCATGTGGAGGGAGGCATCATCCTAATATCACCTGGAGGAGCTGAGCATGTTGAGCATCCATGCCAGTCCCATCTTATGCAGTCAACAACGGGCAGAGGACTAGATCAGCGACATCATAACCTTCATCACGTCTGATGAACTACCTCAAGACCAGGAGAGAGCCAAATTGGCCAAGCTTAGGGCCCCAAGCTACACCATAGAGGATGAGAAGCTATACAAGAGGTCCTATAACCGCACTCTCCTCTGGTGCCTACATCCGGACGAGGCCGAAGTGGTGATGGAGGAAGTACATTGTGGCATCTGTTCATCCCACCAAGGCCCCTTTAGCATTTCCAGACGCCTCATCATCCAAGGTTACTTCTGGCTGATAATGGCACAAGATTGTGTTGAGGTAGCTAGGAAATGCACCGTATGCCAACACTTTCAAAGAGCCCCTAGTCGGCTAACAGTCAACTACACCCCAGTCAGCATAGCCATCCCTTTTTCAAGGTGGGGAATTGACCTGGTCGACCCTCTTCCAAGAGGCGCAACCAACAACTGGTACATCATCGTCACCATAGACTACTTCACTAAGTGGATTGAAGCGGAGCCACTAGCTAGCATCGCTGAGGCACAGTGCCAGAAGTTCATCCTAAAATCATCCTTACTTGCTACGGCATTCCTTAGGAGATCATATCAGACAATGACACTCAGTTCGAGGCCGCACCATTCCAAGAAGTCCTCCAAGCATGGGATATCAAGCATCGCTTCTCCTCTGTTGCCTACCCCCAAGGGAAAGTTGAGAACGCCAACAGAACCATCTTGGAGGGCTTGAAGAAGAAGCTTGAGGACAAAGGAGGCAGCTGGGTGGATGACTTTCACAACATTCTATGGTCCTACCGCACTACGCCAAGGAGAGAAACCGACGAAACACATTTTGCCCTATGCTATGGCTTCGAAGCAAAGGCACCTACAGAGGTTACATTGCCCAGCCGAAGGTCGAGCAATACGAACCCGAAGCAAATGACGAAAACTTTTAGATCGACTTGCACCTCATCGACGAAAGAAACGAGCAAGCCTACCTCAGGGATGAAAACTACAGACGCCAAGTCAAATCCTACTATGACGCCAAAGTCCGTTCCCGAGAATTTCAAGTGGGGGATTATGTCCCCCACCGACAGGAGGCCAGCAGGCCGACGGAATGCGGAAAGCTAGCCCTAAAGTATGAAGGGCCCTACATCATCAATGCCGTAATCAAAGCCGACACATACAAACTCAGACACCCAAATGGGTCAGAAGTACCACGATCGTGGAATGTACATCATTTGGTGAAATTCTATCAATAATCCAAATGCGGTGTAGCCTGGCAAAGCCCCCACCCCGAGGTCAAAAGCTCATTACGAAGCTAACTCCTTCGCGAGTTATTGATAGACTACCACCCTCGGCCTCACGCCATTTATCTATATAAAACGTCACATTCCACTTTGTGAAATTCAAGTAAAGGAAAGCACACACAAACTAAACGTCGTCTAGGCCCCTTCGAGGTGAATTACCCAGGTATGGCCGATGATGTTTAGGACGTAGAGCCCGAAATATGGTCAATGTCTTGAAAGGAGAAGCTTACCGCGTCATCCTCACGAAACACGTAGGACGACAAGCCTAAAGGAAGGCCGATGTAACAAAATATACAAACTTGGGGTCACTTCCTAAGGGACCAAACCCCACAGCCGACAGAAACCGACCAAAAGTCCAGTCCCACGTCCTAAACAGGCGAGGGAAACCCCAAGCTATGGGAACATCCATTTAGCCGAGGGGCTAACACCCCCTCGGTTCAGCTCACGTGAACATCGGAGGAATGGACAGAATCGGGGAAACCCCACCGGCCGAGGGAAGTCAATAAAAAGAAAAAAAGAAAGAAAGAGGGAAGCCGACGGACCGTGCACTCGCCGACCTCGAGCAATACAAAATGAAATCCCCAAATACAAGCCAAAATATTGGTTAAGTACATATCAGGCAAATCCCACACCTTATGGACGAAGCAACATGATAAGGGCACTTTCGTGGGCTAGAAATTTTCACAAAGGCTAAGACATGAATACAAGGCCAAGTGCAGCCCGGATGATCCTGATCACCACACTGAAGCATGCCCTTATGCTG